GGGGGGGCCGGTTCAAGCTCTACCAAATTTCCAAACGACTCTTCGCCACCACCCACACCCAGCTTCCCGCCCTATGACGTTCGGACACTTCACTTCGTGGCATGCGGACGACCGTGGCTACTATTCAGGGCCCCGCGGCCGACGACGACGGCGTGCGCGCGCGAAGAAAAAACGAATGTGTCCCGCATGGTATTATTTGACAGGGATGATGGCCCTGGCAGGTGCGCAACCGTTGTTGCAGAAGTTCGAAAAAGTTGCTCGCAAAAGCCCGTTTGACAGAAATGTTAAAAAGTGTTGGGTTTCCTACGAATCCGCAAGAGCGCGCGGGATGAAATTTTGACAATTTTTGTTTGAAAAACCATTGGTTTTTGATGTTTTTATGTTAAAATCGCTACGAAAACTGAGGTTTTGGAAGGATTTCGTCTTGCGCGCGCGAATGTCCACTTTACCTTATTTGTTGCAAGGGATTCTTGAAGTTTGGATATGTTAGAACAAGAAATGTCCACTTTAGCTAATTTTTTGCAAAGGAAAACCGATCGTAACAACACAACCGGATCCGGACTCCCCCGTTTTGCCTGAGACTTCCTCACGAAAATGATGAAAACATGGCTGCGGCCTAGGCGCGGCGGGGGGGTCGTGCACCAGGGGCCCCGACAATAATTATTCTTAAGAAGAAATAATGTTCAACAACAACAACAACAACAACAACAACAACATGTTAAGACTGTTGGCCCTTATTTGCCCGAGTGTCCAATAACGCCTATTTCCCAAACCCTCGATACCCGCCCTCCTCGTCTTCGATCGAACCCCTTTTGGGTGGTATACCTTTCTTCCCTGCAGGCCGGGCCCCGGCTAGCGGCGGGGCGGCCGCGGACCGTCGGCCTGGCCAGCGGCAGCGCTGATCGGCGGGGCGGCCGCGGACCGTCGACCCGACCCCAAGAGGGACGGACAGGGGACCGACCACGACGACGACGACGTCGACGACGACGGCGACGACGACGTCGACGCTGACGGCGACGAGCGAAAGCGAGAGCGAAAGAGAACGACAGCAGGGCCACAAGGACACGAAGTAGGCCACGAAGGGCAACAGCGGGGACACGAAGGGAATGCGTATGGGGCCACGAAGAGCGCGAACGAGCGGGGGCATCGAAGGACAGATAATGCGGGGCCACAGAAGGCAACGATGGGACCACTAAGGGTAGCAACTGGGCCACGTAGGACATATGCATATGGGGCCACCACGGGCGCGAACGAGCTGGGGCCACGGAGGGCATACATATATGGGGCCACGAAGGGCAGCGAGGGGGCCACGAAGGGATGCAACGGGGCCACGAAGGGCAGCGAGGGGGCCACGAAGGGCTGCAACGGGGCCACGAAGGGTTGCGACGGAGCTACGAAGGACAGCGAGGGGGCCACGAAGGGCTGCAACGGAGGCCACGAAACAAAGCGAGGGGGCCACGAAGGACTGCAACAGGGGCCACGAAACAAAGCGAGGGGGCCACGAGGGGCTGCAACGGGGCCACGAAGGGCAGCGAGGGGGCCACGAAGGGCTACAACGGGGCCACGAAACAAAGCGAGGGGGCCACGAAGGGCTGCAACGGGGCCACGAAGGGCAGCGAGATCCCGATTCCTATGCAATCTGTGAGGGAGTCCTAAGCGTGGGCGCGACTCCTGGGCGCGGCGCTCGAGTAAATTGCAGGACATTCCAACGCAAGGGCGCTATCCTTCAGTAAATTGCAAGCAAGTCTCCAGCGAGAGCGCGACTCCAGAGCGCCTGGAGAATAAATTCTAAGGAAGTCCCAAGCGAGAGCGCGATTCCTGAATAAAACGCGAGGAAGTTTTGGGCGGGGGCGGGGGTCCTGGCTAAATTGTGAGGAAGTCTCAGGCGGGAGCCGTTGTTGTTGTGCAAACTGGGGGCCAACGACACAGTTTGACCCTCAAGACTTCCCCTGATAAAAAAAACAGGGTTGGAGCCCCGGAAAGGGCTCTTCAATCCAAAAAATAATGTGCACCGGACGGGGGGGATCAACAATAATCATCTTCAGAAATGAGAGTTCAACATGAACAACAACGACAACGACAACATCATCAACAACAACAGCAACAGCAGCAGCAGTAACAACATCAACAACAACAACAACAACAACCACAACAATAATCCGCATCGCGGAATTCCACTTCAGCCACGTAACCAGGGACAGTGAATGTCCGTTCGGTTCAGCCCCCTCACTCTGATCAGGCGGGAGCCGTTGTCGTGGTAGCCGGGGGGGGAACAGCACAGATTGAGCACGAAGACGTCCCCTGATAAGAAAACAGGGTACGAACCCCGAGGTGGGCACTTCAATTGAAAAAACACAATGTGCACTGGTGGGGTGTGTGTAGAAGAAAAGTTTCTCTGAAAAGAGCAAAAAATGAGAACTCTACAACAACAATAATTGCAAGACTGCCCGCTCTTACCAGCACGCGTGCCATTCAACATGTCCATCCCAAACCCTCCATACTCATTCTCTTCGTCTTCGCTAGAACCCCGATTGGAAGATATCGCCATGACCTGCCACTTGTAAATGTCGCAACCGCCTGAAACAGGAGACGAGAGGAAGGATGGAAGGAAGGGACAAGGGGGAGGGAGAAGGATGGAGCACGAGAGAAGTTAGCAAGAGGGAGGCTGGGAACAGAAAACACGTGGCAGAACCAGACGGGCACCGGGCAGATCGGGCGGGCAGACCCTAGCGGGCAGGTCGGGAAGGCAGGCCCAAGCGGCCAGGTCGAGCAGGCGGATTCCTGCAGCGTGAGTTGCGCACGAATCGCGAGGAAGTCTCCCCCGATAGCAGAGTTCGCGAGGAGTCGTGAGAAAAGCCAGCGCGAGAGAGCGGGACTCCTGAGTGTCGAGGGCGCGGCGTCTGAAGAGATTGCGAGAAAGTCCCACGCGGGGGCGCAATGCTTTCCTAAACTGTGAGGGAGTGCTTAGCGAGAGCGCGACTTTGAAATCCTCTGTGAGGAGGGGGAGGAGGAGAAGAAGGAGGAGGAGAAGGAGGAGGAGAAGGAGGAGGAGGAGGGAGCCGTTGTTGTTGTTGTTGTTGTTGTTGTGAACTGGGGGCGACGGGGCACAGTCCGAGCCCAGGGACCCTTTCCCCTTGTGCAATGCGCAGTGCGAGCCCCGGGGAGGAGCACTGCCAATGAGATCAAAGGCAGCAACGTGGAATGGGGATTCCCCGCTGCAATGTCCCGCCCGAAGAACCGCGGGCAACGCATCCTCCTCCTCCTCCTCCTCCTCGTCCTCCTCATCGGCCTCCTCCTCCTTCTCATCCTCCAGGCTCTCGACCTTCCGATCGTGCCACTGAGCTGCCTCCTCTGCTTGCACTTGCTCCTGCAACCCCCTGAAACACGACAACACCTGCATCCCCCTCCTCATCGTCGTCGTCCTCCTCCTCCTGGCCGTCCTGCCCGTTTTCCCGCTCCCTCTCTTCCGCCGCTTCCACTCCCTCCTCCTCCTCCTCCTTCTCGTGGTCCTGCACCTCCTCTTCCTCGGGCGGTTGCGCCCGCGCGGCGGGTTGAAATGTGTCGGCTGATTACGGTTGCGATTGCGGTTGCGCCCGAGGGCAGGTTGAAATGTGTCGCCTATTTGCGGTTGTGGTTGCGCCTGCGGTTGAAATGTGTCGCCTGGTTGCGGGTGCGGTTGTGCCCGCGGGCGGGTTAAGACGTGTCGTTTGCGGTTGCGGTTGCGCGTTGCGCCCGCGGGCGGGTTGCAATGTGCTCTTGGTTGCGGTTGCGGTTGCGCCCGCGGGCGGGTTGAAATGTGTCGCCCGTTTGCGGTTGTGGTTGCGCCCGCGGGCGGGTTGACATGTGTCGTCTGGTTGCGCCCGCAGGCGGGTTGAAATGTGTCGCCCGTTTGCGGTTGTGGTTGCGCCCGCGGGCGGGATGAAATGCGTTGCCAGGTTGCGGTTGCGGTTGCGCCCGCAGGCGGGTTGAGATGTGTTGCCAATGCGGTTGCGGTTGCGCCCGCGGGCGGGTTGACATGTGCTGCCTGGTTGAGATGTGTCGCCTGGTCAAGCTTGCGGTTGCGCCCGAGCGATGTGAAAGGTGTTCTTAGAAATTAGGGGAACGAACAATGACATAAACATAAAAACTCTGAGGTCCACGCAGATTTCAAGGATGCGCGCTGGACCCCCCTCCCTGGCGCGCGGAGCGAGCCAGGGGCGGCGCCGGAGGCGCCGCCAGGGGGGGCCAGCGCCGATCCGAAAAATCCGCGCGGACCTCCGAGTTTTTATGTTTACGTCATTGTTTGTTCCCCTAGAAATACCCCTCCTTCTCCTCCGTCTCCAGTCCTCCTCATCCGCCTCCTCCTCCTCCTCCTTCTCCTCCCTCCTCCTTCTCCTCCTCCTCCTCCTCCTCCCTCCCTCCCTCCTCCTCCTCCTCCCTCCCTCCAGTCCAATCAGCTCACTGCAGTCCAGTGGGTCAGCCAGCGGAGAGGGGTGCGGAACGCCCCCCTTAAGGGTGCCGCGCTGGACAGGCGCCAGGGTGTCGAGACCGCCCGGGACTCTTCGGGGGGCCCATTGTGCTGAGGCCAGCCCAGTGTGCGTTTAGCCCCGCTCGATCCAACCAGTCGATCATCACATCGCCTCCGTCTCGACTAGACGTAAGAGTGACCTTTTTCGCAGGTGGGTCCCCCGATGGCTGAAGCTCGGGACTCACCGTCCTACCCATCCCTAGGAAGGAAAAAACTGCGCAAAGATAAGATGTCGAAGCTCCGCGCGGACTGCTCGGATCCGCGCCGGGCCCCTCTCCCCGGCGCGCGGAGCGCGCCGGGGGCGGCGCCGGAGGCGACGCCAGGGAGGCCAGCGCCGATACGGCAAACCAGCGCAGGCTCCGAAACCTCACGGTCGTGCACTGGTGCTGTGCTCCGGCCGGCCCTCCTCGTCAGCCTCCTCCTCCTCCTCCTTCTCCTCCTTCCTCCTCCTCCTCCTCCTCCTCCTCCTCCTCCTCCTCCTCCTCCTCCATGCCTCAAGGGAACGCGGTTCCCGTCGGGGGTGGTCAGCACGTCGTAGTAGAACTCGTCCTTCTCGTCCCAGAGGCCCAGGCCCTCGGCCAGGCGCGTCCTCAGATCGTGCGGGCGGCGGCTCGAGGGCGGGCGCCGGTCCCCAGAGCGCGCCCCGATCGGGGCGCGCGGGCCCGCGCGGGCCCGCCCCTGGCCGCGGGCGAGGGAGGGGGGGAGCGGGGAGGACGAGGCCTCCTCCGAGGGCGGCGGGGCTCCTCAGAAGCCCTCGCGGGCCTTCTCAGCTCCTCCGCCTCCTCCTCCTCCTCCTCCTCCTCCTCCTCCTCCTCAAGAGAGAGCTGCGTCTTATGGGGAGGCCTTTGGGAAACCTCTCAGGAGGCTGGGCGGCGGCTCAGGGGCGCCTCACGCAGAGAGCCCCCCAAAGAGAGACAGCCACGGTCGGGTGCTCGTTCTGGGGGCCTTCCTGGAGCCACTCGCTCCACTCTGGAGTTTCAGTCGGGCCCGTCCCTCTACAGGGGGAATGTTCAAAAATGGTCAAAAAAAAAGAAGAGGACGATGTCTCGACTATTTGCGCACATGTTTGAGTATTGTTTGACTATGGTGTATTTGTCGCCCAAAATCCGCCTGTAGGGGGACACGCCCGACCTAACATTGGGTCGATGTTGCGTCGACCGTCAGTCGACTTGTGTCGAGCGTGAGTCTAGCGTGAGTCGAGCTGGAGTCGAGCTAGTCGAGCCAAAGTCGAGCTGGAGTCGAACAGATCCGCGAGCTGGGCCCCGGGAAGGTCCCCCCAAAACGAGCACCTGATCATGAGCCTCTTCGAGGATGGCGGCCGCATCGAGGATGGGGAGGCGGACGAATCATAAGTGGCACAGCGCGCCGTCTCTGAACAGAAAACGAAGGAGCAACACGCTGACTCTCTATCTCCGAGGGCGTGACGCGCTGACGGACTCCCAACGGCAGCGTCTCATCGATGCTCTGTCTCCCTCTCGAGCGCCCCGACATTCCACCGAGCCCGCGGACTCGCCATCCCTCGGGCGTCTTGTCCCTGTGTGTCATTCGCTTTCGTGCGCGCCGTCTTTTCGCAAGGTATCGACACAAGCTGACGCTAAATCGGCGCCATCTCATCGACTCTGGACGCTAGTCGACGCCCTCCGACGCTGACGGAACGGAGAGGGTGTGCCAGGCTCCCACGTTTGCTGCCGAGCCAGTGGGGGGCCGCCCGCGCCACACATGCCCGCCAAGCCCCCCCCCCCGTTCGCTGGCACGACAAGGGTTCGGTCGGGTGCGTCCCCCTACAGGCGGATTTTGGAGGACAAATGGAAAAATGTTTAACAAATACGCACAACGCACACTCAAGAATCGTGGAAACATCGTCACCCGAGCATTTTGTGTGCCCATGTTTGAAGATTTCTCCTGTAGAGGGACGTGCCCGACTCGAGACCAGGGACGCCGATCCCCCAACTCCTTCCATGCTTTGTGAGCAAGTGTTCGTGTTTTCGGCGTCTCCTGTAGTCCGGGGGCCGAGGATCCCCGGGGCCGCCGCTGTAGCGCTGCGCGCGGCCCGCGAGGGCCGTGCCGCGGCCCTCCGCGCCCCGGAGCGCCGAGACGCCGCCGTGGCGGGAAAGGCAGAAAGGCAGGGACGCCGACCCGCCTCGACGACCAGCGCGGGCGACCACCCCGCGTCAGGTGCCTGTCGGGGTCCGCCCGTCGGGGTCCGCCCTTCCCCTTCTCCCCTCCCCGCGGGCCCCCGCCCCGGGCCCCGCGGAGCGCCGGGCGCGGCCTCCTCTCCTGCTTCAGACCCCGGAGACCCGAGATGTCTTCCGAGCATGTTCTTCGGGTGGAGGGCGAAGGGTGACATCTGAAATGCCGCTTCGATGGATTTTCGAGACTTGAACCTGCAAAAGGTGCATCTCAAGACGGACGGATGTTCGAGGTGCAGAGGCCAATATGGATTTCACCCTGAGCCCTCCCCCCGAGGAAATGCTCTGGTCTTGTTGTCTTCCATGCGGGTCTTGTTTGGAGTCCCGAAACGGTGCGGTGACAGACCGTGCAAGCCTCACCGCACGGTCCGTCCACGCACGGTTCTGGGACCTCGGATGCCCCAGTGGCCCGAGCGCCCTCGGAGAGCGACCCGAGTCCCAGAACCGTGCGGTGACCCCGAATCCCCACCGACTCACTACACGGTGTGGTCACCAACCCGTTTGGGGGCCCCTGGTCTTGGTGTCGTCTACACGGGGGCCCCAGAATTCTCGACACCGTCTCCGACTAGCTACCAGACCACCCCAATCCAACCCGAAGGCCCGCATTCTGGGTTGAGGGGGGTACGGGCTTCAAAATGTGCGTTCCCAGTGTTCCCCGACCCTCTCCCCCACTGGAAATGGAGTGCAGATCGGGGACTTCGGGTTGGGTTGGACTGG